GAAGGCACCAAAGTCAATCTGGCTCTAATTTAAGATACATCCTAACATGTTGCTTAACAATCCAAACTAACATAGTCTTATATTTTACTAGAGAACAAGAGAGTCAAAAAGGGCATAGAAAATAGATACTTACATAAGTTTGCCCAACCTTGCCTCTTTCAACACTCAGCCCATTACATGAATTGGTCTGCCAATTTTTATCATATCTGGTTCTTTTTTTATCAGTTGCTGACTTTTTTTTATCAGTTTATCCAACTCATGGTGACCCCATGTGTGTCAGAGTAGAACTGAGCGCCATAGGATTTCCAATGACTGATTTTTCTAAAGTAGATTTCCAGGCTTTTCTTCCAAGGTGCCTCTAGGTGGACTCGAACTGCAAACCTTTCTGTTAGCAACTGAGAACATTAACTGTTTCTATCATCCAGGGACAACTCTGGTTCTTTTAGTCTCCACTTATTCTTTTAGACTCCAAGTGGGGCAAAGTTAATAACTTATCAACTTTTTTCTCATGCTAATTAATAATGATATACTGCCTACTCTACTATAGGCCACTATGGAAAAAATGAAAGTATACATTCATTCCATATGAGAGTCGATGACTCTAGCAAATTTTTCTTTCAAATAATGTACTCTTACTCAATCTTTTTCCTGACAACGACTACCAAAATCTTTTCTCCCCCCTACATCTTCATCTTCCAAATGAAACATTAAATGTAAGACATGAGGCATCCTCAGAACAGTTTCACTTCTACCTAGAAAGCTATTTCTAAGAGGCCTAGGCCTGACAGGTGTTATGTCATAGTTCCTCCCAGCTTGACTTCCAGACTCTGTTTAAATGTGCTCTGCAAACCTCTGGAGGTTAGATGGACTCAAACCTCCTAGCTCAGACTCTGAATTCACAAAGCTTGAGACAGATAGTACCCTACAGGTGTGTTTGTCCAGGATAAACTATATTTAAATAAACTCCTGACACATCTACTTTCTCCAGGCACCTGCTTCTCCCTCTTGCACTCAAGTATATCATATTTTGCTGTGTGAGTAAGCTCAGTAAAAAAAGATCCTATCCTTCAGAATTACTCTATGGAACCCACAATGTCTTTGGGAATACCTAAACTCTGGCCAGAAAACCTCTACAAGAGAAAGCAAAATAAGCAAATGTATAAGCTATCATTTTTGTTCATTTCTTTGGCATATTTGTATGTTATGCAAGGGAAAGAGTGGAAATAAGAAGTGATGGTAGCAGATTGCTCTTGTTCACTATCAGTCATTACATGCCTAATAGGGAGCCATATGGCATAGAGGAGAGGCCACAAAGCTTAACTTTGTGGTCAGCTAGAGCCACTAGTCTTGTAACACCGGTGGCTACGAGGGTAGGAAGTTTGACTGTTTGTTTACTACTATAGTTCTGATGCTTAAGTACCTAAGCAAAGTGCCTGGTACACAGCAGATGTTCAATAAACACTGATTAGAAGCAACTCAATAAGCCAGGCCCAGAGGAACTCAAATACGGGGGAATCCCAGAAAGAAAAGGTCCAAGAAGCTCGAACAGTTTCATAGTTAATACAAGGACTCATCCCAAGCCTCAGAACGACCTTAGTCTTAGCTGAATACTTCCAATTCTCGTAGATCCTTAGAACTAAAAAGGCCTGGGATTAAATCTCCAAAAGCAACCCCCTACAGCCCCTTGCCCTTTCCGTCCTGCCCCCCCCCCTCCAACACACACACTGCTAAAAAGTCTTCCTCATGCCTGGCCGTGAAGGCTTTAAAGTCATTAAGAGGTGATCCTATGAGGGAAGATCTTAGTTGTGATACTTTTAGACTGCTCCTCTCTTCCTACTTCAAACCAAAAAGCCTCTGGTTTTCCAATTCCAAATGCTGACAGAATGAGTCCCATGGAAAAGAATCTCTTTGTAATCATCTAAGTCTAAAGACAAAGGACAAAGGCAGCCTAAATCTGGAGGCAAATGACCATGGCCAAACACCACAAATCACAACTGGTTAGAGCACTTTCCATAAAGTTGTATTAGATGGAGGGTACTAAGGCCTGCAAGAACTTGTCTAGTATGGAAACAAAGAGAACAAAGACTACAGACCATGTTGGCTAGAAGTAGTCTTCTAAACTATCTTCTCTCTTCAGACCTAAAACCAAAAGCAGCATCAAGTATCGCGATATTTTGCCTTCTCTCCCATTCTCCTATCCCATGCTAAAGATCTTACCATGTGGTCTAGCTGTAATATTGAAGATAACTCCAATATCGAAAAGCCCCCACAAGCTTCCTAGAAGGATGAAAGGAAATGTATCTTTGGAATCTATGCCCACGGCAGGGCTTGGTCAGATGTAAGGTAGAGGCAGTGGCCCCTCTGCCCCTAAGGTCAGGGCACCCCAACCCTGCAGGCAGCACAGAGTTAACTACCCAACCGTTTTGAGAAGCACAAAGGTACATCACTGCAACATGCTTAACATTTACATTGCCTCTCTCTGCTCATTAAACAGGTTTTGGTTAAATAATGAACAAACTGTATTACAGACTCCAATGAGAATTCCAAAATTATAAATCAACTGGGAAAGCCCAAAGGGGCAGACAGACAGGGAGGGGGAGAAGGATAATATTGACTAATATAAAGGGCGCAGCTTGACAGTGGATATTCCTGCCACACCTGATCAAACACACTCCGTGGGAGGAGGGGAAAGAGTGCAAGAGAAGGGAGATGGGACAAGACAGCCTGAAATTTGCATCCGGAAAAGATTAAAATGGATTCTTTGGGGATAGAGAAAATACATAACATATATTACTATAAATGCAAAACTGTACTAAAAGCTAACTCAAATGTCAAAGATTACAGCTTGAATAAATTTAAATATAAAAGCTATGTGCTTCCATGAGTTAATGAGAGAGACATAAAAGGACAAACTGGGCCAGGAGGCTGAACAGAGCCTCATGCTGCCTTTGCTGGGCAATGGGTCCAAAGCACAGCAGAGACCACAGTAAGAGGCTTCCAACAACAGGGGAATCCCATCACTATTCCAGTCTACTATCTGCTTTAAAAAAAAAAAAGCTATAATTCACATATGATAAATTCACACTCTTAAAATGTACAATGCATTGGTTTTTAGTATATTCACAAAGTTGGGCAACCATCACCATTAACTAATTCCAGAACATTTTCATCACCCCAAAAAGAAACCCATACCCATTAGCAGTCACTCTCTACCCCTCCAGTACCTAGCAACCACATATCTGTTTTAACTACTTCAGAATAATCCCCCAAAAGGATTCCCAAGAGGACTTAAAGACCAAATGTGAGGGGCAGCAGGAAGGTCTCTCTCACTGATGTTAGCTAAGGCTTTATCCAAAACAGCAACATGTAAACTGTGCTCTTGGGGAGCCTGTATCTTCCAAGTACAACCCTCTCTTTAGATTTGGTATTAGAATATTCTATTACTCCTAATGCTACAGAACATACAGTTATCATGCAGTTTGGACAAATACTGAATGCAAGTGTGGTCCAGAGACATATAACTATGAGAATACTGGTATAGATTTAGCCAATCTACTAATAGACTTATTTCCTTCACAATGATTAGATAATACCCCTAGAGGAGTAAGTGGTGCTTATGTACTTAAAAGACTGTGTTTACAAGAAAAGAAAATTATTTTCATTTACTGACAATGTTCAATGAACCACCCATTTCTAATAGTGATATGCTTACCAACCAAGCCAGCAGACAGGTTAGAAAAATGCAAGCAGAAAAGTCCTTGTAAAAAAGGACACAGCCCAAGTCAGTTTCATGAGTTAAACCCAGAAGAAGTCCTAGAATTCCTGCCATCCCCCCTCCAATCTAAATGGTACACCATTCCCATCACACAGCCTGGACACAGTCCTTTCAGTTTTTCTCTCCAAGCTCAAAACCCTTTCCCAGTCTCCTACCATTGACAGGCTTCCAGGAAAGCAGTCCTCCTGACACTGCCAATCAGAAAAATCTGTTTGTTTTAGTAAAATAAACAAGAAATTGGTCATGGATTGCAGAGTCCAGGACCACAGGGGCAGCTGACCCATAAACCTGCTCCTGGGGGCCAGCACTGTGCAGGAGGTTCAGAACCAATCTGGCATGAAATACTCTATTTCGGGTCTACTCTGTCATTTTCTCAGGCAGGTACGCTACAAACCAAGATCAATGGTGCAACCTTGGCAGGCACCATTTCAACATCTGCCACAGCTGTTGGCCCCTGGAAAACACTACCATCTTCCTCCTCACTCCAGGGGAAACTTGGTAATACCAGGCTATATTCCCAGTACCACTGACAAGAACTGGCTCCTCAGCATATTCCGGTTTTATTAGTTCCAAGCAGCAGGTAATTTGGATTCCTAACTGAAGGATGTAAGAAAATTAGGCAGCAGACTCAACTTTGGTAGCTCTAGATGGGAACACATGAGGCTGAGAGATCTGTATTAGAGAGAACTAAGGTCCTAACAGCAACAAATAACTTTCCATAAGAGAAGGGTTTTGTTGCAAGTAATGTAAACTTGTACTGCCAATTTCCATCTCATGGCATACGTGAGGTAGGGAAAGAAAGCTGTATAAATAAAAACAAAAAATAACCAAAAAGAACTTACCAATTAATGAGGGAACCTTACGATTGTATAAACAATAAGTCCAGACTAAAGTGTGTTCCTCTATTAGGAACTCAGGGAAAAGAATCAGCAATGCAATAAACCAGAGGTTGGTAAATTGCATCCATGGGCCAAATGTGGACTGCAGCCTGTTTCTATAAAGAAAATCTTATTGGAACACAGCCCCACCCATTCATTTACATATGTCTATGCTTTTTGAGCTACAATGGCAGAGTTCAGTAGTTGCGCAAAGACTATATGGCCCTCAAAGTCTAAAATATTTATTATCTGACCCTTTGTAGAAAAAGTTTGTAGACCCCTGCAATAAACCAAATATTTATATTTTTGTTCAGGATAAGTAATCCTACCTAGATGTGGGGACTTACCTGTTATATTGTTTAAAACTTCCTTTAAATGACTGAAACTATGCAGCAGAGGATCTCGTTCTTCGTCCTGCAAAAACCACAGGTTAAAAAAGAAAAGTCATTATTGCATCAAAAGAGAAAAAAATTAAAATAAACAAAGGATAGATCAAGGGCTCTTTCCCTGAATCAAAACAAAAAAATCTAGTAAGTTTTCCTTCTGAGGAAAAGAAAGGTAGCCATGGTTTATATTTTTCTGTTCCTTACGCTCTTATTTGATAGAGATCCCTGGGCTTACCTATGACAGTGAATCCTAAAGCACTAATTTATAAAATGACCATAGCACTCAAGCTACCATAGATTGCCAGATCCTTTATGTGTGTATTATTCTAGCTCTTCTCTTCTTTCACATTCATTACGTAATCACACATATTCATTTCAAAGACATTCCTGACTCCACTCTTACTTTTAGAACAATACATTTTTGTAAATAAACATGAAAATTTCCAAACTCACATATATGCACTTTCACCAACTTGGAAATTTCAAAACTTGTTTTTATAATTGTGCCAAAAATTGTTTTGTATAATTGTACATAAATAAATCCTTGATTACACAAGAAACAAAGTTGGCAACAAAGAAAAGCCAACTTTACAACAGGTAAGTTTCTACTTATCTGATTGGCAAGATATGGCCTAGTCCATATATGGAAGTTTGCTGAACCCCCAAGAATATATACCATTACCAAGCCATACTCCACGCATCAGTAATTAAAATAATTTAAATAAATTTGATGGCTAATTATAGCCCTAGGGAACGAGAGGATAAGGAATCTTTCTGACATTTTTAGGCATTAAAGAGGTCCAAATACTAGCTTAAGTTGTTTACAAAAATAGAATGGAGTCATCTTTTGGGTCCCAGAGAAAAAAAAGCCAGCCCGTAAATTTGATGCTAGTTGGAATAAAACAGAAGGGTCTTTGATACAAAAAACAACTCTGAATTCTTACTATTCTCCTTATTACTGGGAGCTTGGTTACTGTCTGAACTATGTAGCAGATCCCCTAAAACAACTCAGTAACCAGGTTATCAGCTCATTCCCCACTTACCAGTGGGGTATGGGTGCTCCATCGGGCATTTCGTTTAATGGCCCCAACCACAATGTTAATCTCCCCTTGAATGATGTAAATATTCTTATCCACCATCCTGGCAAACCTACCAAAACAGTTAAGAGAAAAGTCTGGTTAATAGCTGTTACCCAGAGCACCGCTATTGTTGTTAGCTGCCATCAAGTTGGCCCCCAACTCATGGCGACCCTATTACAACAGAACGAAATGCTGCCTGGCCCTGCACCATTCCAATAATTGGTTGTGGATAGGACGATTGTGATCCATAGGGTTTTCATCAGCTGATTTTCTGAAGTAGATCACCAGGCCTTTCTTCCTAGTCCGTCTTAGTGTGGAAGCTCCGATGAAACCTGTTCAGCATCAAGTCATACCAGAGCATACCCATACTCAAATCAGTACCTGATAAGGTAGAATTATGATTTAAATTTTTAGTACTAAGATTTTTTGCCTGTAATACTAAGATGGGATAAAGTCCCTCTTATGTTAAGAATCCAACTACCTAGCTCTCCTAGAAGGGTAAGAAACAATTAAAAAGGCAGCAATCCAGAAAATTTCTCAAAGGTACCCCAACAATCTCTAGCAAGAATGTCAAACTCTTCAAAGTCTAGTGTCCCCCAAAATCTCTTCTATGAGGCCTCTAGGTGTGCAGATACATCTGTGATACTAGTTTGATAAAGACAATATTTCAGATTTCCCTTTGTTTTTGTTGTTTATCTACTCAATGAAGTAATAAAGAAGGCTCGAGTTAAAAGAAAAGAATGAACGCTTTTAGAATAGCCTTGCTTTGGAACCACAGTTACAACGTCAATTTACAGATTGTGCCTATTCTACCACATCAGCTCCAGAAAACTGGTCAGTGACAGTGATACAACTTTTGAAAAGTTCTAAACTCTCAGTTCACTTGCTTATAGAAGAGAATCCCTAGTAAGCAGAATGAAAGGTAGGCTCTTTTTAAAGAGCTTCTATACAAACCTCTGAAGTGAAGTTGAAATACTATTTTAGTATTTTATGTGCTCCCAACCAAACCACCACAGGATCCTCTTCGCTGCCTAGATCAGTACTTAGAAAACATACTTAATTCTCTCCCCCAGGTGAAAATATATTTTAAAAAAAAATTTTTTTCTTGGTATAGAGAAAACCCTGGGAGCATGTAAAACCAACTTTACTACTTTCCATTATTTAGAAATGCTCCTCGAGAAAATTAAAAAGAGTAGAAAGGGGAAAAAAGGGGTGGGGGCACAGTTAGACAAACACTTGACTTTGAAGAATTAGACATTATTGCTAGAGATTGTTGGGGTACCTTCGAGAAATTTTCTGGATTGATGCTTTTTGAATTATTTCTTAAACTACCCTGACCTTCTAGAGACTTCTAGGAGAGCCAAGTAGTTGGATTCTTAACATAAGATGGACTTTATCTCATCAAGGAAAGTTAAAACAGTAAAGCTATCAGGGTAAGCGAGAAAGAAATTCCAGAAATATTTACTTATTAAGCACCTACTATGTATGGCAGGGGAAACCTGTGGTGTAGTGGTTAAGTGCTATGGCTGCTAACCAAAATGTCGGCAGTTTGAGTCTACCAGGCGCTCCTTGGAAACTCTATGGGGCAGTTCTACTCTGTCCTATAGGGTCGCTATGAGTCAGAATTGACTCGATGGCAACAGGTACGCATGGCAAGAGTCCCTGGGTGGTGACTGGTTAAGTGTTCAACTACTAACCAAAAGCTTGGCAGTTCAAACCCACTCAGAGATGCCTCGGAAGAAAGACCTCACGAGCTGCTTCCTCACAAGCTGCATCCAAAACGTCATGGCCTTGAAAAACCTACAGCATGCAGTTCTACTCTACAACACATGGAGTCGCCATGTGTCGGAATCAACTCAACAGCAACTGGTAACTGGTATGCACATGGCATTTTGCAGAGTGCTGACAATACAAAGCAAATAAAATGTGGAAAGAGTTCTCAGACATATTGTGGGGTGGAAACAAAATTGCAGAATAATATGTACTGTATGTTACAATTATGTAAAACCAACCAACCCATCCTACACAAAATACTAGATTTTTATTTTTAAAAATATGTAATATTTAACACACAGTAAGATATAAAGGGTACTATAACAGTCAATACCCAGATTAAGAATAGAACAACTGAAGCTTCTGTGTGCCCTCCCTAATCATATACTCCTCTCTTTCATCTACAGGTCCCACAATTCTAAATTTAATGCTAATTAAACCCTTATGTTGCTTCATACTTTTACATCATTGATATGTATCTTTAAACAATATATAGTATTATTTTGTTTGCTTTTATACTTTATATAACTGGTATCATACTGTATATATTCTTCTGCAATTTGCCCTTTTCTCCTGCAACATTATAAGTCATCTATATGGATAAGTGTAGTTAATATATTTTATACAGGTACATACATACATATGTAAATACAGAATAAAAGGTCTGGAGAGATGTACCCGAACCTCATAACCACAGTTATCTCTAGAGAAGGTGCTGTGAAATCAGGGTATAGTCAGAGGATACTTTAGCCTTATCTGTAGTGTTTTAATTTTTTACAAGGAGAATGAATTGCTGTACTACCAATATAATCGAAAATTATGATTTAAAAAGATAAGATATAATTTCTGCCCTTGAAGCATTTACGCAGTTTAGTAGGGTCTAAAAGAAAACAAAGACATAGTCAGAGATATAGAGAAAAAAATACACCCTGCGAGTAGCTCCATTTGTATAGTTTGTACAAAACAGAGTCCCCAGAAAGTGAGAAATATGAAAACCACCATGATAAAAAGAAAAAAGAACTGATACAAATTTTGTCCAGGCCCACAACTCCCCCAATCCACAAGAGAACTCAATATAAGACAATACATATTTTAATGACAACTTAAAGAAATGACTAGGCTAATCTCAGAAGATGATCTGCTTTCCAAATGCTCTAGAAGCACAACATATCTACAATGATGTTCTCTTTTGAGGAGAACCAAGCAATAAAAGAAATATAAACTCAAAAATGAGTGTAGATCTCAGAAAAGATCAAAGCTCTCCTAATATTTCTCTTTCCTTAAACTATTTAGGCAAGATGAATATGCTCTAGATCTCAGGAAGGATTTGCTTCCAAAGCAAATCAGAAACTACTAACAAAGGTTGCTTCTGGGAAAAGGAACTGGGTGATGAGGAAGAGGGGAGGGTTGAGTGGAGCACCTTTCTCTATCTATTCTTTGTACCTTTTGAATTGTGTCACATGCATCTATTACCTATTACCTATTTTTAATTTTCAATTGACTAATTTTTTTAAAAAATGAATAGGCTCTTTAGAAAAGTCGTTGTGCCCAAATGAACCACAGCCTCCTCTAGCTTGAAACCATAAGAATTAGATGGTGCCTGGCTACCGATACTGACTATTCTGACCAGGGACACAGTTAGAATGGGAGAAAAATGTAGAACAAAACTCAAATTCATAAAAACGACCAGACTTATTGAGCTGATTAGAGACTGGAGGAACCCCCGAGACTATTGCCCTAAGACACCCTTTTAGCTTGAAACCGAAGCCACTCCCAGAGGTCACCTTTTAGTCAAATAATAGATTGGCCTATAAAATAAACAATAACATCGTGAGGAACGTGCTCCTATGAACAATCAACTACTACACAAGACCAAACAGGCAACATTTGCCCAAAAGCAAAGATAAGAAGGCAAGGAGAGGCAGGGAAACTGGAGGGATGGAAACAGGGAAGCCAAAGTGGAAATGGGGAGAGTGCTGACACACCACAGTGATAGCAACCAATGTCACGGAACAATTTGTATATAAATTGTTGAATGGGAAACTGATTTGCTGTGTACATTTTCACCTAAAACACAATAAAATGTTAAAAAAAAAAATAGGTGCATTACTAAGTTTGTAGTCCATGTGTAAACGATTAAGAGCAGTAATCAAAGCTAACATTTACTTCATTCAGTCAATCAGACTTCACTTAACACGTACTAAGCAAAATGCCCATCACCCTTTTGTCAGTAGTGTGGTGACTTGCATGTTGCTGTGATCCTGGAAGCTACGCCACAGGTATTTTAAACACTAGCGGAGTCACCCATGGTGGACAGGTTTCAGGTGAGCTTCCAGACTAAGACACACTAAGAAGAAAGGCCTGGCTTCTAAAAACTAGCCAATGAAAACTTTATAGATCACAACAGAATAATGTCTGATATTGTGAGCGGCCATCTAAGATACTCCACTGGTCTCACCCCGTCTAGAGCAAGAGAAAACGAAGAAAACCAAAGACATAAGGGAAAGATTAGTCCAAAGGACTAAAGGACCACAGCTACCACAGCCTCCACCAGACTGAGTCCAGCACAACTACCACCACTGGCTACCACCACCAACTGCTCTGACAAGGATCACATAGTGTCCTGGACAGAGCTGAAGAAAAATGTAGAACAAAATTTTAACTCACAAAAAAAGATCAGACTTACTTGTCTGACAGAGACTGGAGAAACCCTGAGAGTATGGCTCCTGGACACCCTTTTAATTCAGTACGTAAGTCACTGCTGAGGCTCACCCTTCAGCCAAAAATCAGACAGGCCCATAAAACAAAATGAGACTAAATGGGCACACAGGCCCAGGGGCAAGGACAAGAAAGCAGAGGGGACAGGAAAGCTGGTAATGGGGAACCTAAGGTCAAGAAGGGGATAGTGTTGACATATCGTAGGGTTGGCAACCAATGTCACAGAACAATGTGTATTGTTTAATAAGAAACTAATTTGCTCTGTAAACCTTCATCTAAAGTACAATAAAAAAAAAAAAAAGAATAATGTCTGATACAGTGCTGGAAGATGAGCCCCTATGTTGGAAGGCACTGCACAATAGCTGCAACAATGGACTCAAACTTACCGATGATCATGAAGATGAAGCAGGACCAGGCAATGTTTCATTCTGTTATATGTAAGCTTGCCATGATTCAGAGCTACTCAACAGCAACTAACAACAAGAAACAAAATGCAGGGCAGAGTAATACAGAATTGTCCCTATCCACCCACAGGAATTTATAATCTATTAGATGAGATAAAACACATACATAAGCACATAAACTCATAAATATCTCCAATACAGGAGTGGTACACAGACTTACAGGAGTGAACCAAAGAAAATTACTTCTGGGCCCTTGAAATACAACTGAAAGACAGAATTCAAAAGTCAAAAATACAAAGAGGGAATGCCAGATTATCAAAAATACATAGAGTAAAAACTTAGAGGCGGGAAAATTCAGTATGTATTTGGGGGATCATGATTATTCCAGACTGGCTGGAGCAGATTATCTTCACCTAGGGCAATAATGAGAGGTAAAGCTAAAAAAGCGAATAAGGACATACTATAGAGGGTCTTCAATACATAGTTAAGGAATTACCGAATACTCATCATTGTAAAAAATATTTTGGGTGTCTGTAACGGAACACTATAAAGTAAGAATATTTAATTTCTCTTTCAAAGAACTAGGAGAATGAGAAAAAACACACCCATACAGAAAGCAACCTAGCATAAGTTAAAAACAAAACAAAAACTATATTACAAATTGCAAACAAAAGTGCCAGTGGACTAATTGAGATCTAATAGGATCTGCATACTATGTGGAAGGCATCCTGGAGGAGATAACTTTTGAACTGGAATTCTAATTGAAGTAATCAATCCAACATATCATCAAAATTCGTTAGGCAGCAAAAGCTAACAACTGTCTAAAACAGCAAAGATCTAAGCAATAAATCACTGTCTTAAGGTTATTTTCTTAATAAAAAAGAAAACATTCAAGGAATGAAAAGGAATTATTTTCAAGGACTATGCAGAGTTGCCTCATCTCCCTCCAGGCCTCTGAGCATAAGTTTCCTCACCCAGGGAATCTGCCATTGGGCTTCAAAAGGGAAGCTCTGATGAACCACTTGCTGCCTGGCAGCCAATGGCCTACAATCCCTGTCATAGGTCACAAAAGGCCTGCAGAGATCTCAGATAAATACGGTAAAAGAAAACTTAAGGCTTATCTTGTATCAGAAATAACATGAAAGGAAACAACCAAATACATACCAACCAACATCCCTAGCCAGACAAGCTGGCCCAAAGACTTTGATCAACGTACATCCTTTGAAAGCACTGTCTGTTGGAAGGTGGGTCTACAGCATTCCCCTGGTGCTCTGTGGGGCCCCAACAGGATCCAAAGAGAGAGAGTCAGTATATAAACTGGCAACTGCCTCTAGATCCAAACAAAAGAAGGAGAAAGAGATACAAAAATTGGATCTTTACTCCATGGAATACCAAAAAAATCTATTTCAAATAAATTAAATGTGAAAAGCAAAACCTGAAAACTTTTAGGATATTTTTAATAACCTCAAATAGGAAAGAAGTACCTAAACAGGAAACAAAAAGTACAAACTATAAAATAAAGATTGGTAAATGCAACCACATTAAAACTAAAGACGTTTGTTCAAAGGACACCATAGAAAAGAGGGAAAAAATAAGTCACGAACTCAAAGAAAACATTTGTAACACATATAACTAATAAAGGAGCAACATCCAGAATATAAAATAACTGCTACAAATCTATAAGAAGTAGACATAGAATAACAACAAAAAAAAATTGGCAAGAGACATAAATAATCATTTCACAGAAGAGGAAAAAAAATATGAAAATACGATTAGTTTCATTAATAATCAGAAAAATTACAAAATAAAATTATAATCTGATTATAACGAGATACTATTTTACACCTCTAAAATAATAAAAATTTTAAAATCTGACAATACTAAGAGTTAGTAAAAATGTAGACCAAGTGGCTGGTGAGTATGTAAATTGATACAGTTTGGTTAACAATATGGCATTATCTTGTAAAGTTGAACTTTATATCCTATATCCCAGCAATTCCAGTTCTAGGACTATACCCTAGAGAAACTTATTAAAAAATTGAGAATGTGGTTATGGTGGGGGGGAGGGGCACTAACAGAAAAAGGTACTCTTGTGGCCTCAGTTTTGGTGATGTTCTGTTTTTTCAAGCTGGGTGTGGGACACTGGTGCCCAATATATGCTATATATATTTTTTGTATGTATAAAATAGACTGTCAAAAGTTCCTTCTTTTTAAAGTTATGTTCTTTGCTGCCTCTTTTTCTTTGCATATGCTGTTTCATTTCTGTCTTAAATGTTTTTCCCCACTCTTATCCATCTGGTGAACTCTTACTTATTCTATCCAAAAGTCAATAAAGGAGTAAGAATAGCACAGTGGTTATAAGAACATGCTTCAAAGTCAAGGCAGACCTAGGCTCCAGTCCTGACTGTTACTACCTATGTGATCTTACCCAAGTTTCTTAGCCTCTCTGAGCCTCAGTTTACAGTTCTGCACTGTAAAATGGAGACAATAACATCTCCTCATAGGTTTGTTGTGAGGCCTAAATAAACCTGTAAAGCATGTAGCACAGTACCTAGCACATTAAAACCTAAAAAATGTTAGCTGTTATTATAATGCCTGCTCTGAGAAGTCTTCCCTAGCTAACCTACTCTCCCAACCCCCTAGAGAGTATTAGTACCCTTTTGTCACCCCTTAACACTTTGTACATAGATGTATTTAAACACATATTATACTGATTTATACTTAGTCTATCTCTCCCACGAGCTTATGCTCATCTCAGAAAGCCTTATTCACCTTTTTATTCTCAATGCCTAACACTTGTAAGGGAAAAAAAAAAAAATCAATAAATTCTTAATGAATGAGTGAATAAAACTTAACATCAGGACTGCCTCTTCAATAATGGTGCAGCTCACATCCACTTCTTGTGAGAACAATGACTTCACAGAAGTCAATGACTCTGGGCCAGGCAGGCAAACCTTCTTTCTGTATCCCATATTTGTTTCTCTATCACAGTTACAGACACTCCATACAGGCCACCCAACAGACAAAAAGAGTCCACATTTACCCACCAGTCAAATCATAATGCTTCCATTTTCAATCTATCTTCCTGAAGTCTTCTCACATAGTATTTGCATGTTCATATTTCTTCTGTGAAATATATAATTCTTTATGTAAATGTCAATTCTTCAAATATGTTTATATGTCTTATTTTCTTTGGTTCTAAATACTAAATAGTACACCATTTTTTAAGCTTTGGGGACTTTTTTCTTAATTACCTTTTTTTTTCTTAATCACTTTTAATAGTTGTCCTTATCTAATTAGAAACTAGGTTCTCCAAAGGCAAGGACTCAATTTTTTCTTTCTTTTTCATAGTTCCTTGTACAGCTGTACAAACCAAGAAAACTCTGATGGGCTTTCTGAGAGAGGGTGGCAGTACCAGGGCACTGAATGCCCTTTAACTGGCCATTCTGAGGTTTATATTCACTCAATTCCTTGAGCGGACCAAGGAAACACTAAAGATGCAGAGCTTTCCAGGTTTCCAGAGCTAGCCAAGGAACACACCATAGTTTTGTGCTTTATTGAGAAGGACTTAGAATTACTGAATTAGTAATTTAGTAATTCTGAATTAGTAAACGTTATTAAGTTTCTTGAGCTCAAGAAATTTACTCAAAGGGTGGAGGTAAGAAAAAGTCAAACGAGGTAGAAAGCTGGTGCCCTGACAGGGCAGAGGTAGAAAATCCTCCCAAACCTGATAATCAGGTGACCAGTGTACCTCTAGCTCTGCAAGGTCACCTCCTCCCTCTACGAGATTCTAAAACTATCCCAAGAGCCATATACCAGGTGAGCCACTGAAATATGTCCAAAACTGTCTCTCCTGCCAGCTTGGGTATGAAAAAGTAAAGCAAGGCTTCTCTCACTTATCTTTTAATCATTACCCAGGGCACCCAAAGTATAATGGAGACAGTTGACAGAATTAGGCAAAGAAAAAAAGTCTGCTTGTGTAATCATATATAGAGAACTACAGTGATTATGTCTCCTAAGGCCTGCTCATCTGTGTATATCAGAGGTCACCATCCAATGGCCATCGAGCAGAATCCAGTCCACAGACATATTTTGTTTGGCCTGCGAAAGGCTTAAAAATTTTTTTTAACTAGTTGTCAACAGTTTAAAAACACAATGATCTGCACTTTGAGGTTTTCCTAAAAAAAAGACTAGGCCCACATTCCCAAACAATTACAACAGGCTGAATGAGTACCAGCTGCCTCCTTTAAATAAGGGCATAGGTTTTGCAGTTCACTACAGTACCGACTACACCCTAGTACATTTCCACCTGACCCATTTCACTCACGTACATTACCTGCCTGATACGCAGAGGCATTTGAGCTTGTAACCCCTGGTTTATATGATGGCAACAAAATCATTACTTCCATGATCACTTTCACTACTACTGGGACTCCAAATCAGCACACTGCTATATTATATTTTCATTTAATTAAACAACTGCAGTTGAACATACTGAAATATATGAAAAGAGGAAAAATGGACGCTCAACAGCAGCCAAGTACATTTACACATCAGTTCCCCAAAAGCAGAGTCTTTCTAATCAGTCACACTGAAACACAGGAATAGAGTGTGATCAATCAATTAAAAGTGGCATACAAAAGCTAGGATGATCCTTCCAGTAAGTATAAATACAGTTAAGTCTCCTCAAAAGCAGAAGCTCTGTCTTCTTTCTTTCTAGCTGTCCACAGTAGTCAAAGTACCCTATCAATGAAGTTATTACCTAAAAGTGGCAGTCATCCTGTCTTCTGGAACATAGGGAAGTAAAATAGTAATGGAATTCTGAGAAGTGTGAGCTGAAATTTGGATTGGTGCCCAGCTACTCATGAGGAGACATGTCTACAACCTGAATTTCCACTGTCCCAATAAGCATCACTGTCAAAATTGGAACGTATTGTCTGTCTACAGCCACCATTAAAAAGCAGCTCAAATACAAGTCTTGAAGGAAGGACAAATTTTCTGATTTGGGGATGGAGTTGAGGTGAAGAACTATTTCAATCCAGAAAATGACTTTATACTAAAGAAAAACTATTTGATGCCTCTATTGTCACCCCCAGGTCCAACTGAAAAGATGCTGGATTGGTCATACTATCTACCCAAAGACTAGACTGTCCATTATGCAATGCAAATCAACTCAACAGGGCAATGGCCCGGGTGGGCAAGGCAGGCTGACCAAACCTAGCACTCCCTGGGCTGGCTAAGTCATTTCATTTGCCACTTTCAACTACTTTTTTGGAAATTCTGCAACTTAGATCAGTAAGTTAAAACGCACATAGTTTCCTGTACCATTTTCAACCTATTTATTTTAAATCAATAAATGTAAACAGTAAGTGCTATCCCTCCCACACAACACAAACATACACAATTTCAGAAAGGCAGAAGGCATTAGGTAGCAAGAAACTGAGTTCAGTCATTCTAAGATCCTAGGTAGTTTTCTCTTTTGACACTAAAAGGTTTTGATCCTCCTTACTACTACCTCACCATGTAAAAGTGCACAGTGTTCCTGACTGCTGGGGCCAGAACTAGGCCACAAATCCTGGTCACATACTAAAACTAATCCCAAGCACAAATAACATTTATTGAGTGCCCACTACATGCTGAGAGATGTTAGGTTGAGCCTACTTTTAATCGTGCAACATGCTCTAACTAGGCCACTGCACATACATGCTACCACTTTTAAGAAGTGCATAAACTGAGCAGAGTAATCCCCAAACAGATGTTTCCATTTGCATCATCCACGGAGACTAGAGTAGTGCACTGTGTATCTGAATTCATTAAAAGCATACACATTTCTAAGCTGTGTCTTAAAAAACACCATCTATACTATTTCTCATTTTTAAGAGCACTCCTTAACCTTAGGGAATTTTTACAACTTTACAACATAGCAGTTTATCAAAGATCATCACAGTGCCATAAACTACACTCTTTGGGGTTGTGTTTGGGATTATGTTCCATCATTCACCCTACCACTTTTAAATTGATCCAACATCTCTCATGATTCTTTTCACCCACTAAAAATAATAGACTAACAATACCAAACTTCACCAGGATTCAAATCCCTCTCTGCTCTCCAGCCAAATATGTTATAATAGAATGGCTTCCTTGTGATTAAACCTCATCTCCTTAGGCCAAGGAAAGAGAAGACCTGGTGGGGAGGGAGGGGAGTATGCCAACTAAAAAAAATACACCAGAAGAGGTATCTGTAAAAGATTCTATAAAATAAGAAACAGGCTCAGAAGAAGTCCAGTGTTTACATACAGATCCAGACTGGTAGTTGAGTTGTCCTATAAGAGGAAAGCCTTCTCATAGCCCAGCCCCTCATGCTGCTGGCCTCAACCCTTCCACATCTCTTCTCACTATCTGAGTCTAGGTTGCACTCGTTCATCATCCAGTATTAATGAGGCAGTTCAGTTATACTGCGACAATCACAATGAACTGGACGCTATACAGAATCTAGAGACTCTCTTATCTAAGCTTTAAAAACTAACCCTAAAGAGTAGATACAATGCTGCTTGGGTTTGTTTTCAGCTTTTGAAGACTGGGCTGTTCAGGACACAGAAAGCTTCGGGAAGAGAGGAGCTGAAGGCTAGGTCACGCCTGGGAACACAGGAAGGATTCCGGCACCCGTAAGGTATCTGAAGTTAGAGTTGAATCGCCTCTCCTGCGGCAGGAGCCTGACCTTTGCCCCCTCTACGCCTCCAAGTTCCCTCCCACAACAATACCTCCCTCGTCTTACTCCTGCCCTCTGAGCCCTTAACCCACCCTAGATCATCCAACTTAAAGGCCTTCTCCTCGTATTCCCTATCGCGATGTCAGGCCTACCTTCCCGACACTGAAACTCTACAAAGAGACTTCGCTGACCTGTCAGCGGATCCAAAATGGCGGGGCCTAGTCCCAGGACCGGCAGCCGCTGCTCATGTCCAGCCCGGGCCCCAGAGGTGTCTCGGAGTGGCTCTCCCGGCTCTGATGGCAGGTAGAACAAGGGAAGGGGCCCGTTTCCTGGAAGTTGAGTCCGAAGTCACAGTAGGACCATGGAGTCGGCCGGGATGAGTCGGCCGGGATGGGCGGTAGAGCCGGCTGCCTTCCCTGTCAGCTCACTGACGTGGTAACTAGCCTCAGTCTAGCCCGCTGCCTGGTAACTGCGCGATCCCTGCCTGGCACAGCCAATCATAGCTTTGTACCATGAAAAGTGGCATTCCAGCTATCCAATCGAAGAAACGAACTAGGCTTCAGGAGGCGGGGAGTGCCTAAGGAGGCGAGATATCAAGGGAAAGAAAAGGGTAGGCAGGGGACAACCAACGGATACGAGGACTCTCTGACTGACAATTACAAAAGCCAATGAAAAATGAGGAGTTGTGCTGGGCGGTTGGAGAGGCGGAGTTAGGCCGAGTTCGGTTGCAGCGTGCGGCTCGGCAGTGGCTGCCGGGCATTATGGGGAGAAAGGCTACGATTTGCTGGAAAGGGGGCGGGGTCCTTTTTGAGCCTGAGCTGGCGGCCCGACTCCCCCGGGTCACAACCATTCAAAGTCACCTGAGCCAAGACCATGCCCCTTAAGGGATCATTCCCTTTCCAGGTAGTGCTAGGCTCCCTCCATCGTAGGGCCAGTCCGGCGATCTGTTTCCACCCTTCTCACCCTCGCTCCCCCGCCCCTCCCATCCCCACCTTCCCGTTTGCGTGTCCCCTGTTTGGCTTTTCATGGGTGTCTCGGTCCGCATCCCGTCTCTGTTTCTGCGTCATCTGCCCCATTCCTATCATCCAGAAATAGAGCAAATGGGAAATGACAGAAACCTTGTCCTCGTTTTACAGAGCAGAAAACTGAGGCTGGAAATGTGGTCCCACGTTCACGGCAGAACAGAGTGATAAACCCAAGTATCCTGACCCTCAGTCCAGCTAGCTGTTTCACTGTCACTCTCTACCTCCTATGCCTTAATCCTCTCAGGTGTGAATCTGGCTCTGCCCTCTCATATCAAGGCTCAACACTCGTTGTCAGCAGCCCTAGAGTACGCCCCACTCATGGCAACCCCATACACAACGGAAGGAAACGCTGCCCAGTCCCCATGACAGGCTGAGGATTTGACCATTGTGATCCATACGGTTTTCACTGGCTGATTTTCAGAAGTAGATCACCAAGTCTTTCTTCCTAGTTCATCTTAGCCTGGAAGTGCCTCTGAAACCTGTTCATCATCACAGCAACAGCAAGCCTCCACTGACAGACAGGTGGTGGCTGTGCATGAGGTGCAATGGCTAGGAAAAAAAATCCAGGTCTCTCACATGAAAGGCAAGAACTCTACCGTTGAACCACCAATACCCTCTTCGACAGACCTTACTTACCTGGTAAAAAAGCTAATCATACAGGTTAGACCATGTCACCAGTGGCAGGAAACTGAAGCCTTTTCTGTTTGGCTTAGAAATACTAAGCTGCCTGAGGGCTGGATGCCCACAACAGTCTTCACTTTACTGCCCGCCGCTGCCTCTTTTCCTTGCAAGAGATGACAGAGGTTACTAAGATATTCAGAATTACCTAGAGGTGAGAGTGTGTAGGAAAAGGACAGGATGAGTTTTCTCCTTGTAGATTCAATAGCGGAATTCCCAGCCTATCTGCTGAAATGGAGCCCAGGGGCTCCTGCAGACCTGAAAAAGGCGCTGGGAGGCAGTGAAGAAAGATATCAATTCTCTCCTCATTTCCTCCCATCTATGGATGACACAAACCCAAGGAACCTCCATACCTAACCCCATAGGAATGCAGTCTCAGGACCAGGCAACCAGGAACCATCCATGTGCTAGGATCCTCTAATTTGAAGAACCCATCAGACATGACATCAGACCTGAAGAACCTCTCAACAGCTCTCTGCACATGCACGTTGGGCTCCTAGTCTTTGGGCCCAGTAGAGGATCTTTCCTCTTTTACCCAAAGGGAGTCAGGGAAAGAAGATACAACCACCATAGCACTCCTTTCCATAGCACCTCTAAGCCATTTTCCTCTTCATTCAAAAACTGAGAGTTGATCTCCTGGACCTGTCTCAGATTGTGAGGTACTGGATAAACAATTGGAAAATCCTCTAAGTTAGCCAAAATTCCCTATCGTCCCATCTCTACTCCCATATACTTCCAGAAATTCATCAGCCTTGCCTAAAAATATGGGGTGTGATTGTAGGATAGAGATGAGGAGGAGAGGGATGACAATCCTCTAGTTCCTCCTACTCACCAACCATCATCTTACCAAGCAGAATATCTCCCTCTTAGATTTCAGTATATTTATTGAGTTTCTACATTATGCCTAGGGATAGAAATATGAGGACATGGTCCTTGCCCTCCTAAATCTCAGTCTAGTGGGGGACAATATATAAGCTGATCCCTTCAATATGGTGGCTAGGTAATAGAGGGTACCTGCAAGGAGGGTCACAGCAACAAGAGGCTAGACATCTGGCTCAACCCAGTCTGACTCCACACGCTCCTTGGGGCGTCTGTCCTGTCCCTTGCAACTCCCTAACCAGCAAGCACCAAGGTCACGCCTTGCTCACAGGACTGAACCAGGTACCACCAGGGGGAAGCCAGCCCTAAGAGGCTGGGAGAGCAGAGCCTGGGCAAGCTGTGGATGCAGACGGACAGGCAATCCGCCCACACCTCTGAGGAGAGCCCATTCGAAGCCCTGAGACTCAGCGGGAGCCTCCTTTAATTACTTGGGGTGGGAAGAATGATAGTTACTTGTCCAAGGTCACTCGTGTGGTTGGTAGCAGGGTTGCAACAGCCCATTGGTTTGTCTCATTCCAAAGCTCCGCTTTCTCGACGAAGCTACCTTCCTTGGAAGGGAGGGAAAAAAGGGAGGAAAGAGAGAGCAAAAAAGAGGAAAAGAGAAAGATGTGAGGAAAAAGAGGTGCAGAGAATCAACATGCAGAGGAGGAAGGAAAGGGGCAAATAGGAGCTAAACGATGGAGGAGAAAGAAGAGGAAAAACAGGCGAGAGTGGGAGGATTGGAGCAGAGACAAAAAGGCGGAGAGACGGACAGCGACAAGTGGAGAAAATCGGGGAAACTTGAGCGGCGGCAAAGTCTGAGCGCTGCAAGCCGGCGGCCCCTCCTCGCCGGTGCGCCCCTCCCATCTGGCGCCCCAGCGGCCCGCCCTGGCCGCCTTCTCCCCCCGCACCTCTCCCATTCGTTCGAGGTGGCGGCCCGGCCCCACCTAGATGCCCTCCCGCCCTAACTCCTCGGGTCTACCCGGCGCGCTCTACTCTCGCCGGCTTGGCTCTATCACAGCGTCCTTGCGGCAGCCGGGTCCCGGCCACGTGGGGAGGGGAGTGGCCCAGTTGCTGACGAGTGCCTCCGATTGGCCAGGGGGCGGGGTTCTTGGCTGTCCGTCGGCCGGACCCCTCCCCCGAAGGCGGGGTTTGAAGATTCACAGCTGGAAGGGGCGGAGTCCGGGGAGCGCAGCTGGAAGGGGGTGGGGCCCGACCCGCGAGGCTTGCTGCGGCGGGCTGGGGGCGCCCTGGCCTGCCATAAAGTGAATGGGCGCCGGCGGGGGGTGGCAGTCCTCGGTGAGGCTCAAGCTCTCCCTCCGCGAGTCCGGGAGCGCCAGAGCCGAGCGGCGGCCCGGGCGCAGGGGGGCGGCCCCCACCCAGGCCGGGTGCCCGGCCCCTGGCCCCTGCCTGCCCTCCAGACCGCTGCCGCCGCCGCTCCGCCGCCGTCGCCGCCGCTGCCGAGAATCTGCCTGCTGCGGGACACACTGTGAGTGCTTGACCATGCTGGGCGCAGGGTTCACAGGACCTAGGGCCAGGGCCGGACCTAGGGATCCCTGAAACTGGACCTGGGGCAGCTGGACTCGGGTGCCGGGGGAACAAGGCCAGGCTGGGATGGCGGACTACAGATCCGGGACAAGGACTTGGGAAGAGGGAAACTAGGGGTAAGGACCTGAGGGACCGGGAAGGGGAGACTCGGGGGACCCTGAGGGAAGCCGAAGCCCTAAACCCAGGACAGGGGCTCCGCTAGGCAAGGAGTAGGGGATTGGAAACCATTACCAGAAAGCGCCCTGGAATCTCGGGGCGCGGGGCAGGCGGCCGGGCAGCGGGAGGGTTTGCTGAGGTCCTGGCCATTGTGGCGAACTGGTCGCAGCCGCCCAGCATGGGGGCAGCTAGCAGCGCCTGATGCCCTTCGGTCCGGGCTCAGGCCCCTGGTCGCACACGCTTCCCTTCTTAGCTGTTCCGCAGTTGGGATGGGAGCTGTGTTGGGAGAGCTGGGCGGCGACCGGGTCAGATGGCCGCTGTGTGGGCAACAGGACCGAGGTTAGGCGGCTCGAGTGACCGGGCGGCGCGTCTGGCGTGTCCGGCTTAAGGTGTTAGGGCCTGGATAGGTCCCTGCCTGGGACCACTTCGGAATCGGACGGAATGTCAGCAGCGCGCGGGGCTCTGAGCGGACAGAATGTCCGGAGAGATGAGGTGGGTCTCGCCCAAGCAGGCACTGTGGCAGACAGCCAAATAGAATGTCCCTGGCCGGTGGCATGTCCGTTTACCCAGCAGCGCCTGTCCAGCTGCTGCGTGTGCGGTGGGGTGGGCTGCAGTGGGCCGCCTCGAACCCCAGCTTACCCTTTGCAAACTTGTTTCTGCTCTCCAGGGTCTTGAGAGGGGGGCAGAGCAGGGAGTGACAGTAAAGGTTGCAACTTGGCCTGGGGCTGGGGTCAGCAACGGATTATCCAATAAGTAAGATAGGCATGGGTTTAATTGTGCTTACTTACTAATCTGTAGTGCACAATTTCACACGGGGTTCACTATAGATTGTGCACTATAGATTAATAAGTAAACACAATTAAACCCATTCGTACCTTGCTTACTGTAAACTGGTGCATACCATATTTATTGGTTAATCCACCCCTGGGAGGGTGGCAATGGGAGACATTCTCTCTCCAACCCACAGTAGACCAGAGCATCACCCCAACTTCCTGAATTGAAATCTGAGGAAAGAAGGCCATGATGGAACTGCTAGTAGGAATCAAGACCAGGAAAGGAAGGAAGAAATGGCAATGGGAGGGTAGAGAGGAGCCAAGCACAAGCCCCTGACAGCCTCAGCTTCCTCACAAACTCAGAGTCAGCCGCCAATTCTGGTGCAGCTCCTCAGGCACCCCTAGACACCTTTCCCTGGATCCCAGCTCAGCTAGCTAGTCTCCTTCCCCGCAGGGGGCAGGAGCCCAGGCAGAAAAAGGGAACTGCAGCCTCTAGCCCCTTAGCAACAAACCCTGTGGTCCTGTTTCCCTTTTTGCTTCCTTGACTCTACCATCCTCATCACCACCCTGGTGGCTTAGAAGAGGTGAAATTCGGGGTCTGAGGTCCGACATGGGGCGTATATGACCCTCCAAGTCTGGTTGGGAAAGATGTCTCAGTCCTACCCAACTGGCCCCTTTACTTTCCCTGTGGCTGGGGGAGGGCCCAGACTGTCCTGGATCCATACAATGAGCACACACCCTAAACCCAGCTGAAGGGGACAGAGTAAAAAGAACTCTCTGGAGTCCATGTGAGTGAGAAAAACAACCCAACCAGGGAATGAGTTTTTATGGGGGCAAATGCAAGGCAATGTGTTTACCAATGAGTAATCTAAACAAGTGAGTCTCAAACCTTCTCACTCTCCACTCATGAGTGACTTACAATACATGCACCCCACACATATCCCTCCATGCCTCAATGTTTAAGTTCGCTTATCACCATCTAGGACATTGTTTCTCAATCTTTTTTTACCCCTTGCCCGCTTTTGGTAAACATAGAATCTCACCCCTGTTACCCACCCCCACAAGATTCTGATACTCTTTTCAGGGGCTTGTACTGTCATTGCCTTTGAAAATCACTGAAATTATGGGTGAAATGAAGGGTTCTGAGTCAGCAAAGGAATAAGGAAGGCATTACAGATGGCTCCCTGAGTCCCTTCACCCAAAGTTCTGCTTTGGACAAAAAAGATCAAAAAGCAATGGCATCGTAATAAAGATGATTGGAAACAAAAGAGAGAATCCTTCCCTACTCTTGCATACAACCACATAGCTGAGTGCATGTCTGGTCACTGGTCCTTAAAGAGACTGTCATGAACCGAGAGAAGGGTCAGACAATGGCCGGCAGAATTGGGAGCCAGGGTCTGCTGGAGACAGCAAATTTCAAAGCTTAGGCTTCTGGAAGGTGAGACAGGATGGAAATCCACAAAATAAGGAAAGGCCTAGATAAGCAGAAGGCTTGTTTGCTCCTAAGTCCTGAAACCGAAGATGAGGGGGCATCTGAACTGGAGTGATGCAAGCTCAGGATGAATAGGAAAACATTCTTTGGCACACAGTGGGCAGCAAACTTCCAGAGCTCATTTCCAGAGAGGTGGTAGGGGCAGGAAGTAGAAATGGAATCCTTCAGGGCCTGGGAGGGTCAGTGCATATCAGAGCCACAAATGGCTGCTGGGGTGGAGGAGGAGAGAAGTGGAAAGAGTCTGTCTGGTCCCTGGTCTTAGGAGAACTGGGTTCAAATCTCCTCTAACCATCTATTCAATCTTGTGCAGATTCTTGTCTTCTTAGAGTCGAAATGCGGATGACCATTCCTGCCATGCACGATGGTTGTTAAGAGCTAAATGAAATCATGTACAGTGAAACCTATGAGAGCCGGAACTCGACAGGACTGCTTTGTTTTTCCAGGTCTCTCAAGTTTTCTGCCTTTGACAGGGTGCAGTCTTACCACTTTTGTATTGTTCCTTTTAGTGGAAAATATTTGAGTTTTCCTTCTCTGACAGGTTTCTGCCTTACACAGGTTCTGGCTTTCACAGGTTTTACTGTATATGAAAACCATTTGCAAATGGAAAAGCACCATAGAAGTAAGAGGCATTATTGCTATCATTACACCCAAACTGTAAGTCCCTTGTAACTACAGAATCTTTGATTTGGAAGGGTGAGGTCTCAAGCCTTAGAGTTGTCTGATCACATGCCTAATCCAGCCACAGGAAAGTTCTTAAAGACAGATGGGACACCCTCTCATAGGCTTCAGATGCCAGCCATCACACCCTGTCTCCCTCCGGAAGGAGCTCTGGGAAGCTCCCCAAATGCTCCGCCTCTCTACCAGGCAAAACATCCTGATCCGATCCCTGTCTGCCCTGTGCTCAAGGATGTGAATATGAGCCTAGGATCCAGCCCAGCAAAGGGAGGGCAGGAGCAGCAGGCTGGAGCTGAGTAGAGGGGTGGACATGAGAGAAGATGGGGGCCACCTGAATCTTTGCTTTTTACTTTACTCTAAATGATGCCTCCCAGAGTAGGGCGAGGAGGCAGCAGCTAACCTGAAGGATTCCGTAGGTCCTGAGCTTTGGTGGCGGCGTCTAAAGTGTTCAGCCCATGGTCACCTGCAGGGACTCATGATAAAAGTGACGGGGAAGGAAAGGAAAAGAAGATGAGGGAGTGGGGTGAGAGAGAGAGCTATAGAAAGATAGGGAGAAATGGCTTTGGAAGCTCTCCCCACCTCTCCTTTTCCATTGTTGTCCCACCCTGAGGCCTTCTTTACTTTACATCTCTTAGTTAATAGTTTTCCCTGTCCAATCCATTCTGCTCATTATTGCCAAATAAAGATCCCAAAGATGCCACTTTTATGTCACTCCCATGCCCAAAACCTCCAGTGACTCCTACAGCTTGGAGCAATGCTTCTCAATAGGGAGTGGAGTGGGATGAGGGCAGTGCAGGACTGGGAAGGGCATGACACTGCTGGCTTAAACATGGCCCACTTTCCTGGTGCATTGATGTCACTTGAAGATGGGGGGGAGTTATTTTTATATTAAAATAAATGGGATTATAGTATGAAATAGAACAAAAGGCTGGAGACCTCATAGAAATTTCATACTCATGGCAGCTGTTTCAGGTTGTACTCCTAGTCTCCCAGAGTGAATGTTCTCTCTTACTGGTCTTAAGTTTGTTTGTTTTTTTTTTTAATGGAAAAACTGGAGACACTTTAGCCTAGACTATCAAATCAGAGGCCCTCTCAGCCTGACCCATTTTTCTCTCCTGATCTCCCACTGCCACACTGAGACTCTGGCCAGGCTAGGCTCCCACTGCCTTCTAAACCTACCAGCTAATTCCCAATACTACTGTATTGTTTAGAAGGCCCTGTCCCTTCTCTGCCTTTCCAACTCCCAGCTCAGCCATACACTTATATTCTCTGAGCCCCTAAAACTTGATACCACTGTACGTGGGCTTCCATCTCTCTGATCTTCCACAATCTGAGACTCAGGCCCACGCAGCCCATCATTTCATCCTGTGCTCTATTTGCTTCCTGGACTGTAGTCTCCTAGAAGTTAGAGTCTGTGCCTTGCCACTCATGGGGATCCCTCTTAGCACCTAACACTTGCTGAAGGAAAGAAGAAACGAAGGGAAGGGAATGGTGGGGGGACCCATTTCTTTGATCCCTGATTCACCCCTTACTAACTTAAGTGGATCAAATCATCGCTGCCTCCACTTGAGTCTTGGAGTTTCATTTTGGATCTGTGAGCCTTGTCCACAGCTGTCTTCATTTGTTCTCATTTGTGCACTGCAGTTCAGTTGACCAGACAGGCTGGGTATTCATCCTCCCTAATGAACATGCATCCATGCACACTTAAGGACCACACTTCAGTTTCAGGTTTACAGGAGGATTGTTCCATACTAGTTTGGAGCTCTGGTTTACACCTCTTCCCCAACTTGCTGCTTGCTGAGCTAAGCTTCATCATCACAACTCCAGCCTCTCTTATCTTCATCTTCATTCAGCTCCTGCAAGAGAAAGGTTTTCTACCATTTAATTTCCAGGTTGTGACCCCTGTTTTGGGCATTATTATTGCAACCACTTGGGGGATCTCTAACTGTGGCCCTGGTTTACCCCTCTAGCTTCAAGATGAAAGCAGGCCCACATGGCAGTTGTCTTCTTGCCATGAGCTTGTGTCCCTTTGGAAACCATAGCCTCCTCATTGTGGCCTCTCCGGCTTATGATAAGCTCTGCTCTCCATCTTAATATATCCTGGATATTTTGTTCTGGCTGTAGCCCATGACAGGCTGTACTGAAGAATCAGAGCCCACCTGTAGACTCTGTAATCTCCCTAGGGCTGGGATTGCCACCCTGACACCAGTGGGGCCTGGGCCATACAGCCCCAGCAGAGTGTGTTAGAAAGGCCAGGAGTAGGGCAGGCAGCCCTCTGCCAGAGCTGGACTCATCATCATTGTTATCTCTTGATTCCCTTTGGCCCTGCCTGGTATTTCCTATCAGCATCAACCAATCCTACAGTGTCCAGACCTAGTGCTGTCCTTATCCACCAAGAGAAACAAAGTCCCTGGCCTCAATCCCAACTCCCAGCTTCCTGACCTCCAGCAGTTTGGGGGAGCTTAATCCTAAGCCAGCCTGTCTGCAGCTTGGACAACAGCTTGGTGCCCCCCAGCCTTTGCCTGACCAGCCCGCCTAGACTTGAGTCTGACAGAGGCCTGTGCCCCCACCCCTTATATCTCTCTATTGTCTGCCTAGCTTTAGCCTTCCTTCCTTCTGTTTTCAGTTTCATGACTAGGGCTCTTCTCAACCTTGTCCCCTCTTTCTGCTATTACTAACCCATTTAAGAGCCTGAAGGCTTCTTTCTTTCCTTTACCAGTCCCTGGTCCCAAAGTGGTTCCCAGCCTGGGTTACTCTGCCCATTTTGCTGCTACTTCATTAACTGGATCCTCCTTTGTGTTCAGGACAGAGTTTATAACAGACGTTTACATCTCTCTCTAAAATGCACTGTTAATAATTGCCATTGAGACCATTACGACTCATGGAGACCCCAAGTGTGCAGAGTAAAACTGCTGCATAGGGTTTTCAAAGCTGTGACCTTTCAGAATCAGATCACCAGGCCTATCTTCCGAGGTGCCTCTGGGTGGATTTGAACCACCAACCTCTGGCTAGCAGTTGAACACTTAACCTTTTGTGCCACCCAGGAAATCCTTCTAAAAATACTCACCTCTATTCACCAGAGAAATTCTTCACTGGGAGATACAGGGCCTAGGAGGAAGACGGGGAGGTGAACCACCCAAGCAAAGACAGAGATGAGGATTTGATATTATTCACCACTCTATCCTCAGAACCTAACTCAATGACCAGTGGATAAACCAAAACCAAACTCACTGTCGTTGAGTCAATTCCAACTCCTAGTGACCCGATAGGACAGAGCAGAACTGCCGGGTAGGGTTTCCAAAGCTGTATATCTTTATGGAAGCAGACTGCCACATCTTTCTCTTGCAGAGTGGCTGGTGGGTTCAAACCACTGACCTTCTGGTTAGCAGCCAAGCGCTTTAATCACTGTGCCACCAGCGCTTCTTGCCCAACTGATAGAAGGTAGTAAATATTTGTTTAATAAAAAAAAAAAAATTCTTGGGTAGAGTTTTACCCTATCTATTATTACACGTTATGTTTTATTTAAACCTTATAACAATACTGAAGGTAGGTAGAGAAGGAACTATAATCTCCCTTTTAGAGATGAAGAATATGCCCAGAGAAGTAAAGGAACTTGCCAAGTTCACATAGCGAATAAATTGGGGAACCAGGATATGAGCACAGATCTTTTGATTTCAAACCTAATTTCTTTGGGCTATACCAGTTTAAATCTCCTAAGTGGAGCTGGGCAGTGTCTATCCTCTCTCCTCACCCAATCTTCTCGCTCCAGCATTCTCATGCCTTCTCCCCACTCAGAAAAGTAGGCTCTTTCTGGCAGCCACTGAGTGTAGACCACTCCCGTGGCCCCCCTTGGCCTCCTCCTTCCCCCACACAGAGTCTTCAGTTCCTGAGGCTGAGAGCTGAGGTTCAGAGGGGCCAGGAAAGGGAGGGGGGAAGGGAATGGCTAGCTCCAAAACAGCCCAGACAGCTGTCCCTGTCACAGAGAGAGGAGACTGTGTGACGGCGTGTGTCTGTCTGCCTGAATATGGGAGCACATGTGTGGGAGAGTGTGTGTTTATGTGCCTGTAGCTCCAAGTCCAAGTGCTTATTATGTCTGAGTGGGGGCCCATGTGTATCTGCATGTGTGTCTGTCTGTCTCTGGGAACACACAGCTTGAACTCTGCTTTCTCAGCCTCATCTTTTACTCTAGCCCTTATCCCTCCTCACCCTGTCTCCTTCTGCTGAAATAGAGGGTGAAACCAAGATCCAGGTATGGAATGCTGGGGAAAGGCGAGTTTGGAAAATTGGAAGCAGAAGGGAAGGATGAGTGGGGATGGTGAGATTTAACTTCCCCCACTCCGCACACACAGGCAAACCCAACTGTCCCTCTTTTCCCAGCTCTGGGTTGCTGGGTACTGCAGTGGCCTCTGGAGAAGTTAGGGGGCATGGTTTGCAGTTTGAGGGCATCTTGGATATGAAGTAAGGGGACACTTCGGAGCGCCACTCTTTCCAGCTCTCAGTTCTAAGTCTTCCTCCCTCGTCTTCCCAGCTGATTTGGGAAGAGTTGCTAGTCAAGGCTGCAACAGGCCCCTCCCAAGGGCATCTCCCTTCCATCAGAGCATCGGAGTATTGTTGGGCCTAAGTTTTCCAGCCCCAAGCCTCTGGCTCCTGACCTCAGACCTGGAAAGGGAGGTAAGCTGAACCCACCCCTACCCCTAGCCTGACTTCTCCCCTTCCTTCCCTGTTTCCCTCCAGCCCTGCCTCTCCAATCCCAAGAAAAGGTCCAAAGTCTAGTCTCCTCTGCCTGTGGAAAAAGCAAAGACTGTTTCTCAACCTCCTGTTTCGACCTCTGTCCCACCCCCAACCTGGCCTGAGGGGGCGGTGGGCAGCTGTGATCTCTGAGCTGGTTAAAGGGGGTATTACCATGTGCAAATACAGGCTGCTGAGCCTCCCTGAAAAAGGCTCCTAATAAATTCAGAGCAGCCAAGTGACACACATCTCAATCTAGGCTAATCCGACACATTAATGCCACCCTGCACAGCCTGAATTAAGCCCCTGCTAAAGGCGAAGGGGTAGTGGCGGCAGGTGGACCCCTTCCACCCAGCTCTCCAATCCTGTCCTTCTGGCCCTAGCCTCCTCCAGTTCTCTGACCAAGAGCCATCCAGAGTCCTGAGCCCTATTAGTGCTCTTTCCTCTTCCACCAGAGGGGTCCCAGGAGAGGCAGCCGGAAAGGAGCCCTTGCAGGGGAGAGGGCCCCAAGACAGTTCCTAGGCAATGTCAGGCTAGATTTGGGATAGAGAGGATGGGTAGGATGGTGGTTTTAAGAAGCTCATACCTACTGCCTGGGCTGGGCCTAGTAGAGGCCATGCATGAGAGTAGAGCCATGACTGGTGGGATGCCATGTATATCTGGGCAGGCATAGGAGCAGACAGGGCCCAAGAGCCCAGTGCTTTTCAAACTTGTTTTGATCCTGAGACTCCTTCTGGAGAGAAATCAAATGAAATCTCTCCAGAAAGCATAAACAAAATAGACAAGAGCAGAGCTGCCCTAGGTGAAGCAGACCTAAGCAAGACCAGGCTACAGTTCTAGCCCAGCCCCTGAGAGTGTTTCCGGGTAGTAGTACCTCAAACAACTTGAAAAAGCAAACCAAGAAAAAGCATTAGCTTAGGAGTCTCACAGGTCTGGTTCAGATCCCATTTCCACTACTAACAAGCTCTGTGACCTTAATCAAGTTATTTCAAGTCTCAGGTTCCTCACCTGAAAAAGAGTGCTAATACTTAATCTTGATGCATTCTTGTGAGGATGAGAAATAACGAGGTAAAGGCACATAATACTCATTGCTGTCAAGTCGATTCTGCCTTATAGCAACCCTATAGGACAGACTAGAACTGCCTACATAGGGTTTCTAAGAAGCAGCTGGTGGATTTGGCTGGTGGATTCAAACTGTTGACCTTTTCATTAGCAGGTGAGCTCTTAAGTACTGTGCAACTAGGGCTCCAAAGGCACATAATAAGTATTCATAAATGATAGCCATGATCATTTTCATGGGAGAAATACCAGACTTGTTTGAAAATAAAATCTAATCCAGGGAAAATGAATGACAGAGGTTTGGGTTGTGTCTCCAATGTGATTAGCTAAGGGGCATGTTGAGTATATGGGGCTATTGTGAAGTTTTTTTAAAGATGTGACGGTGTTGTATATGGTGTGCAATAGTGTACATTTTCTTTAATTCAATAAATGTTTATTGAACGCCAACTGTATACCAGGTACAGTTCTAGCTGCCCGGCAGTGAACAAAGTCTAATGTATATATCTGGGCATAAAAGCTCTGAATATAAGCTCTTTTCCCCTTAGGCTGCTATTTGCCCATTCTACTCTAGGGGAACCCATTCGGCTGTATGGCTGAGAAAGGAGGCAGGGAATTTAGGGCGAAACACAACTGGAAACCGGATACTCCTGAGATTTTACCCCCATTAACATGGTCTGTGTCTTCTCTTCCCTGCAGATCCCTCCCTCCATGGAGTTCGGCCTGCTCAGCGAGGCGGAGGCCCGGAGCCCTGCCCTGTCGCTGTCAGACGCGGGCACTCCGCATCCACCACTCCCAGAGCCCGGCTGCAAGGGCCAGGAGCACAGCGGTGAGCGCGCCCCCTTCTGGGAGTGGAGGAGATACAGCTCAATCCCTAATGGGGGTGGGACCTCCAGGTGGAAGCCAGGGGTCTGGGTGAGGAGGACCCTGAGCAGAGGGAGCCCAAGCAGGCCTGGCGCCCTGTGACCGACCCCCAACCCCTGGCCCCAGACTCGGAGAAGGCCTCGGCTTCGCTGCCAGGCGGCTCCCCAGAGGATGGCTCTCTGAAGAAGAAGCAGCGGCGGCAGCGCACGCACTTCACCAGCCAGCAGTTGCAGGAGCTGGAGGCGACCTTCCAGAGAAACCGCTACCCAGACATGAGCACGCGCGAGGAGATCGCTGTGTGGACCAACCTCACCGAGGCCCGAGTGCGGGTACGGCCAATGCTGACCCCACCCTGACCTCCCTCTTGAGGTCCCTCAGCGGGCAGCTTCGGAACCCGCAGCCGGTTGTTCTGCCCCGCCTGCACAATGCTCACGTCCAATACCCACTGCCCATGCACCCCTACCGCTGTCACGCGTCCACTTCTTGCCACCAACCCTCAAGCTCTGCCCTTACTCCCACCCTCCCGCCGGACCGCACCTTTCTTCGCCCCTGACGCCGTCTGTTGTTCCTCGCTTCATCCCTTCTTGACCCCATCCTACTTCTTTCCCCGCCCCAATACCCTGTCGCCCCTGCTTCAGTCCTCCTTCTCTTGAACCCCTAACCCCACCCCCACCCCGTCTGACTGCTCCGTGATCCCCAGCACCGTCTCCAGCCACCTCACCTTATCTGTCCTCCGCCAGGCCCTCTGCCCTCCCCTAACCCCCGCCTGGGTGCCCGCCCCCCAGCCGCTCTGACTGTGTCAGCCAACGCCGCTCCCCCCACCGCCGGCACTGAGGGTCTTTCTCCCACTCCCGCAGGTATGGTTCAAGAACCGGCGCGCCAAGTGGCGCAAGCGCGAGCGCAGCCAGCAGGCGGAGCTGTGCAAGGGCGGCTTCGCTGCGCCGCTCGGGGGTCTGGTGCCGCCCTACGAAGAGGTGTACCCCGGCTACTCGTACGGCAACTGGCCGCCCAAGGCGCTCGCCCCGCCGCTCGCCGCCAAGACCTTCCCGTTCGCCTTCAACTCAGTCAACGTGGGGCCTCTGGCCTCGCAGCCCGTCTTCTCACCACCCAGTTCTATCGCCGCCTCTATGGTGCCCTCGGCCGCGGCCGCCCCCGGCACCGTGCCAGGGCCCGGGGCCCTGCAGGGCCTGGGCGGGGGCCCCCCTGGGCTGGCTCCGGCCGCCGTGTCCTCGGGGGCAGTGTCCTGCCCTTATGCCTCGGCCGCTGCGGCCGCAGCTGCAGCCGCTTCCTCCCCCTACGTATATCGGGACCCGTGTAACTCGAGCCTCGCCAGCCTGAGGCTCAAGGCGAAACAGCATGCCTCTTTCAGCTACCCAGCTGTACCCGGGCCGCCTCCGGCCGCCAACCTCAGTCCGTGCCAGTATGCGGTGGAACGGCCCGTATGAGCGGCCTGGGCTGTGGATCACCCCTAAGGGTGGGGGCGATCGTTCACAACCTCCCCGGACTGGGGTCGTCTTGACTGGCTTGCCCCAACCCCAGGGTCTGAGAAGAGTGCTTGGGCAGCTGGGGGGCGGCCGGCTCAGGAGAGGGCCTTCCCCTTCCCAGCCCTGAGGGACCTACACACAGACCAAGCCCTTGGGACTAAGGCCAGGAACAGGAACCCCAGAAGCCAACTCACTCTTGGCCTATCCCGCCTTCTCCAGACTCCATTTCCACCGTTTTCAAAGATAAATCAAATAAACGTGCGCGGACTGTCAAATGTTTGATGACTGAGAGTTGCGGTTGGGCCCTCTCCCAAACGTGAGCCTCATCGTCCCCGATTTTCTAAGGGAAGTCTGGGCCGAACTGGAGCGAGGCGAGGGTTCAGGCTCCTCGGGCTTTAGCCCCTTCAACCTCCCCCAAGATGGGAAAGCCTGGGGATTTCTGGGGTAAAGTGTGTGTGTGTACGTTTCCAAGGAGCCCTAGTGGCAAGTAGTTAAGCGCTAGGCTGCTAACTGAAAGGTGGGCTATTAGAACCCGCTCAAGATTACAGCCTTGGAAACCCTATGGGGCAGTTCTACTCTGTCATATAGGGTCGCTATGAGTCGGAATCGACCCGACGGCAACGGGTTTTGCTCCGTGTGTTTCCTGGAGAAAAGGGTTTGCGTGTGTGTGGTTTGAGAGCCGGGACCCACTTCTCGCTAGCATTCGCCAAAGCTGGTGCTGTGGCGCCACTTAGTGGTCTCAGGAAAGATAGCTGGTAGATCTGGACTCCACTGCTTATTTGCAAGTGTAAACAACATATAACAACATATGAGGGGGCAGACCCTCCCTAACGTGGAATAGTGAAAATGATCCTAAATTCTGCAACCTAGGATGCTTGTGACCTTAGATAAGTCACTTCACATTTTTGCACCTGTTTTCACTGGGTCATATGAGGCGTTTGGGCCTCTAATAGCAATAAAATTCTGGTTTGTAACAGACATTTATTAAGTGCCTACCAGGCGAAGGATTCTTATTGTTTGCGTGTGTGCCACTCATCCTTCCACATACTCTCCCAGGCTGCCCACCTGCCGATCACCCCACTGTCAGCAGGTGTCCCCATCACAGCAGCAGTCTTTCCACAAATCCGAAAAGGGCCGCTCATCTTTTTTGTTTTTTTTAATTGTACTTTTTTTTTTTTCTGCGCAAAGCTTTATTGAGAAAAGTAGCTCGCGAGCTGAGACGAAGAGGGACAACGCAACGCTAGCCTTTGTCTCCCCGAATAAAGGGTTTACAAGGCTTATAAACGTTTCTAGGCGGGAAATTGTTTCATCTCTATTCATGAAAGGAGTGTGGGTTTCTGGGAAAAGGGTGTGTTAGGTGCGCGCTCAAGAGGTAATTCAAGATGGAGCCTGTAACAAAGGCTCCTGGGACTGGATGGCAGGATTTATTATGGGGTGCCGCGCCTGCGCAGTTTCCCCGTGGTGCCAGCTCGATTCCTGTCGCGGGTCTGTGGGTCACCTTGCGGATGTCGGCGCATACTCCAGGGACAAGATTGGGCCGGTTTTTCTGAAAAACGTCTTATCAAGTACATTGAGAGCTGGGTGGGTTGTCCTTTCATTATTGCATGTTCCAAGATAATGGGTTTTGTGTCTTTAGTTAAGCACATGTTTTTAGTTCAGGGTCCTTTGCCTAGGGGCTCAGTCCCTTTTTCCCTTCCTTATCTCAATCTCCCCTGAGAGATTTCATACTCATAATTCTTTATGAGGGCATAGGGGCGGAGGTCTCGTCTTCTGTAACTTCAAGCTGACACTGGGTTGTTGGCCTGCCTAGCAGAGTAGAAATCTCTGCCTGTCTGGTCTAAAGTTTTGTTGGGGCTATTGCACTCAGACCTGGGAATGGGCTAGAGCCCTTGCATCATTATTAATTTGACTTGGAACTGCTGGAGTCTAGAAGAGAGAAATTTAACCAGCACTTTGAGCAAGCAGGGACCAAATAAAAGTGGTAGAAGGATAGTTATTGCGGGTCCTAAAAGGGGAAGGAACCAGGTTATGGAAGGTAAATATCTTTTGATTTGATTCCAAATATTGTTCCCATTTGCGTATGAGCTGTCCGTAGCCACTCAGCTTGTTTAAGGATCCTCTGAGCCAGGAGTTCTACTTCCCCCGAAACATTAATGTACATGCAGCAGGAAGTGTCTGCGACTGCACAGGTACCTCCCTATTCAGCCAGGAGGTAGTCTAATGCGATTGAGTGGGCCATGGCTACATTGGCCAACGAGTCCAGGGATCTCTGTAAGGCTAATAGACTTTGTTTATTGTACTTTAGATAAAGGTCTACAGAAAAAATAGTTTCTCATTAAACAGTTAGTACACATATTGTTTTATGACATTGGTTAACAACCCCACAACATGTCAACACTCTCCCTTCTCGACCTCGGGTTCCCTATTACCAGCTTTCCTGTCCCCTCCTGCCTTCTAGTCCTTGTCCCCGGACTGTTGTGCCCCATTAGTCTCGTTTTGTTTTATGGGGCTATTTAATCTTTGGCTGAAGGGTGAACTAAGGAGTGACTTCATTACTGAGCTAAAAGGGTGTCCAGAGGCCACACACTCGGGGTTTCTGCAGTCTCTGTCAGGCCAGTAAGTCTGGTCTTTCTTCGTGAGTTAGAATTTTGTTCTACATTTTTCTCCAGCTCTGTCGGAGACCCTCTGTTGTGATCCCTGTCAGAGCAGTCCATGGTGGTAGCTGGGAACCATCTAGTTGTACAGAACTCAGTCTGGTGGAGGCCATGGTAGTTGTGGTCCATTAGTCCTTGGGACTAATCTTTCCCTTGTATCTTGTTTTCTTCATTCTCCCATGCTCTCAAAGGGGTGAGACCAGTGGAGTTAGATGGCTGCTCACAGGCTTTTAAGACCCCAGATGCTACTCACCAAGGTAGAATATAGAACATTTTCTTTATAAACTATGTTATGCCAATTGAGCTAGATGTTCCCTGAGACCATGGTCCCCACAGCCTTCAGCCCAGCAATTCACGGGCCACTCATCTTGTTGAAATCTTTAATTAAAAGAATTGAGCAATCCTGTCCCAAGGCCAGATGAGAAGGCGGGGAGGGTCAGGAGCTGGTTGAATGGACACAGGAAATCCAGGGTGGAAAGGAGTGTGCTGTCACAGTACAGGGAGAGCAACTAGGGTCACATAACAATGTGTGTATAAATTTTTGTCTAAGAAACTAACTTGAATTGTAAACTTTCACTTAAAGTACAACGGAAAAAAAAGTGAAGAAAAAAAATTGAGCAACAAGTAGAAAGATCTCTGGACAGAAATATAAATAACTCAGCTCTGATGATCCTCCACAGTCCCACCCCATCTCAGGGCCTGCTTGGCCTTCACATTAAAAACAGAAGCATCAAAGTAGCACACCATAGCCCCATCCCAGGGATGATACTTCCTGTCTGTCATAACTTCTTATCACCTTGGGGCACACATTCCATGGGGGAAACTATGCAGGTAAGGCACCCTAATCATTTTCCCAAACCTAAGCTCACCCCTTCCATGCCCTGGGGAGGAGAGAGCCTGGGTCTCTCTCTTTTTCTCCAACTCTTCACTGGCTCTTGGTCTTGTTTTTGACTTTGGGTATGATGTAGGCTTGGCGGAAGAAGTGGGCAAAGAGGATGAAGTAGCTTGAATACAAGATGGAGGACAAGAAGAACTGTTCCATTGTGGTGGTGTCACATCCCTGTTCATGCCTCCAGATGTAAGTCAGGATGCTGACCATGGCTCCTACAAACATCTGCAGGATCTGTAGGCTGGTGATGAGCATGGAAAGCATCCTGGGGGAATTCACTCTGGCAGCCTTCAGAGTGTAGTAGGTGTACATGACGGCATGCACGCCAAAGTTCATGGTCATGAACCAGCCACCAGCAGCCATCTTATTCTTGTATCCAAAGGATGTGAATATTACCACTGTGCTGTGGTGGTACCAGTGCACAAAGATGAGTGGCCGCTTACGTAGGATGATGAAGGCTGTGTCTCCTGGGAGATGGGAAGTCAAAGTTGGCACACCTCTCAGTGCTGGAGCCACACATACCCCCATGCCGGGTATAGGGACACAGGGGGAACTCTCAGGGAGGGAAGGGAGGTTTTGTGGCAGCGAGTGTGAAGAAGGGCTTGGGTGAGAGTTGCTAGGACCCAGGGGTTGGGAAGGAGCTCTCCATGTGATAGGTGAGGGGAGGGCTTTGAGGAGGGATGCAGTTCCTTGGGCACCAGAGAAACAAGGCCTTGACACTCACCAAGTTCAATGATCTTGCTGAAAGTAAAGAAGCTGGACCAGAATTTGACTGTGGAATGTGTGATGAAGGAGGAGTAGCACACAGATTGCTTTAGGCCCACCCTGAGTAGCACGGTCCCCATAAAGCTCCACGTCCTCACTGCCCCCATGATACTAAAATTGGACAGAGAGAGAGGGTGTAAAAATCATTTCTAGGCACCAATCCACTCTCCCCCGGTCTGACCAGGTCACTAAGTTCCAAGCTCCACCACTTCCCCACCCTTCGAGAGGGGATGGTCACAGCTTCTGAGATCCTGGGACCAATACAGTAGATCCAAAGAGTAGTATAGAGTAGATGAGGGCTGGGGAAGAACCAGGGAATGCTGGAGGATGGGGAGGAAGATTGGGTTAGAGAATGGGGTTCTTGGGATGGGGTAGGAGCCTGGCAGGTGATGAGTGGCAGGATGGGGAAGACTGAAGGTATTTAGGGGAAGCAATATGAGAAGGAGGGGCTGGGGAAGTTACTAGAAGGTCTTGGGAGAGGGTGTTAGGAGCTGGGAGTATTAGAGGCTAAGAGATTTGATGGAAGTACATAGACCCCATGAAACCAAAAAGGATGAGCAGAGACCACCAATTTGGGGCCTGGGGGAAAAGGTAAACAGGATAAAATGCGAGGGAGGTGGAAGCTGGGAGGGGAGCTGGAGCTGAGACAATGGGGTGGGAAGAATGTCAGGCAACTTGGGGGACAGATGGGGGTTGATGCAGCTGATGTTTCTGTAATGGGGATCTAGGGTCTAGAGGTATGCAGGGGGCTGGGAGGGGTGTCTTACCTGAAGATGGCAAGGCAGAAGGACCAGAGGATAAGAGGCGCCTGCAGGTTGAAGCCCTTCCGTGCCTTCATGTAGTTTTGCCCCACAAAGATGAGTAGCAGGTAGATCAGAGCTATGGGGAATGAGGTTGTCCTGGAAGGCAGAAGGCAGACAGGATGGGCTTATGGGTGGGTGCTAGCTAGAGGAATGCCCACTCATCTCTCCAGGTGAGTGCTCTGGGTTGGAGTCCCCATTCTGCTACGTTTACTAGCTGTGTAAAAGGGGAATAATACTCCTCTCCCAGCAGAATTAATGTATATAAAGTACCTGGCCCAGGGCAGCGGCTATGTCCAAAGTTTCTGTGATTTTTCCTCTGTCGCTGGGCTTGGGAGTGGGTGATGGTTATCTAGCCCATGACTAGAACTAACCTGGGGCTACGGTGTGAGATGAATGTGACAACTGCTTCTGCCTCGTTGGGCCGTGGCAAATTGAGTGGAGCACAAAGTCAGCCCACAGACACCTCAGAGGAACTTTAGGGCAAAGCCAGAGAGCCTGGGGAAAACTTGGAAGACCTCTCTGACTTTGGGAGCATGTGGGGAACAATGTGATAATTGTGAAGGGCAGGCAGTCCCTGGGCACGAGCACTACACACTCACGAGCACACACGCAGCCACAAAGGACGAAGAAGAGTCATCTATGAGGTAGGTGGGTGTGAGTAAGAATTTAGATGAACTTCATTCCTCCGCGACCAGGTGTCACTAAGACTCTTTCCCTTGGCTTCTGTCTCCTCCCGTATTCCTCTCCTCATCCTCTGATTTCTGCCTCTGAGCTTTCTTTCAGCTCTCATCTCTTTCAAGTGCCACGCTACCTGCACCTTGAATAGCCGTGGTATGGAGCCAGTATGGGGGAGCCTCATACATTTGCTCTTTAGGAAAACCACTGTCCCTCCCTGGCCCCCAACAGCACTCACCTGGGTCGGGCCCCCTGGCATGGCGCTTTTCCCCTCCCTAAATCTCACCAGTACTCCTCCATAAGGAGCCCTATGTCCTCGAACTGCTCGAATTTGTAGCACTGGAACTGCTGGTCTAGTTCCTGGGAGACATTCATGACTGTGGCCATTTCGTTCTGCAGACGTCGAGGGTCGGAGTTTGGGGAGCTGGACGGAGTATGAAGCGAACCTCGGGGCCGGATGGAACGGACTCAGGACGTAAGGAACCCGGGGCCAGCCGAGTAGAGCGTCCGAGGTAGGCAAGTCAGCTGCAGCGTAGCGGGTGTCCACTGCCGCCGCCACTGCGGTCTATAACGCGGAATTGCAAAATCCCGACCCAGCAGGTGCACCGCCCCCTCTCGGCCGTTACCCAATCTCTGCCAAGATACGCCCCCCTCCCCGCCCCGGGCCGCATCCCGCTCGCTGATCAATCTCAAGGGCACCTCCCCCAGGCGCCTCGCATGCCCCGCCTCAAATCCCTACCGTAGACCCTCTTCCCGCCCACTTTTCCATCCCTTTCTTTGCTAACCAGTGCACACCCAGACACGCCGGTCCTCCCCTGACACTGCCAACCGTAGCCTTTGCCTCAGTTTCTTCAATCCCAACCTGCCTGGCAGTGGGGAGAGAGTAAAGTGTCCTCAGCCTTTGGAGTCCCCACCCAGCGATGGGGGCGTCAGTTTCCTGGGTCCCTAGATCCTAGGAAACCCAGGCCGGGGATGAGGATGAACCAGACTAGGGAAAGGTCAGCAAAGAGCCTCTAGTGTAGTGCTGGCTGTCTCTTAGCTTTGGGTCTGTGGTTATGGGTGGGAGGGGGATTGAGATTGTTGACGTTGATGTTTGGGGAGGCGGTTGTTGAGCCTGTTGTGGTTTCTTTACAATTTCCTGAATTCCAGAACTGCGCTAGCCTGACACCAAATAATAACCTTGTGGAGGTGAGACAGATAGGGTTAACTATGCCGGCGGAATAAAAGAGCTGTTAAAAGACTACCACCTAGAAGATGGTGAAACAGGAACCACATCCTGTCAACGTAAAATAAGGCTAGAACAACCGTGAATTACTACTTCCTCTTTAGTATTTTTCTAGTCCCTTTCCCCTTCTTACAGGCTCCGCATGCGCAGAATAACAAAGTGTGACCGCTGTTTTGGCCCACCGAAGGAAGCGAGGTAATACAGAAGATCAACGCACCTGCACCATATCCCATATCCCATAATAAGTGATGCCCAGAGCTGCCGAGGGGATTCCGTCTTGAATATCAGCAGGTTACATCCTGGATTCTAGATGAGCGCACAACCTGATTAGTATGCACTACCATTCCAAGGAGTACCCGCCGCTTCCAAGAAACCCACTGAATATTCATTGCTCTTTTGTCCACACCGAACCCATATAAGCCCTAGCCTTGCTTCTCCTGGCGAGTCAGCCCCTGACTGACTCCTTTTACTTGTCACAAGTAAAATAAACCTGTTAGAGCTGAACCCCAAAATTGTCTCCTCTGTGTATTCTTACAAGAGAAAGACAAGGACCCATTGAGTCCGGAGGGCCTCCATGCCCTCGGCGGTAACCGAGGAAATGGGGTCATCCTCCACGCTTCTGAGATTATTGTCTTAAGGTTTCCTGGAGTCCTCCTAGGGTCTAGGGAGGGGAGGCTCAGTGCATCTCCCCAAGGTCCTGCCGTTCTGTCTCCCCAGACTGTGCTTGTCTAATCAAATTTGATTCTTCCTGGGCCTGTGTACCCAGCCCCAAAGAAAGAAATGTTTAAAAAGGTTTAAGGTCTTTGCTGTCCCTTATTTCTCCCCTAGGCTTTAAGAAAGAGAGAGAGAAATACAACTCTTGCCGGCAGTTCCACAAGTTATGAGATAAGATGGGGATTTGCAAACAAGTGCTAAGAGAAATAAAGGAAGAATATTTAAAATCAAGATGTGGCTACAAATTGCTAAGTGCAACAAAGCCCACAGATTCTGGGGCCAGAGGACCCAGACAGGAATCCCAGCTCCACTTCCTGAGTCTGAGTTAGTGTCCATGAAAGAGTGCATGAGAAGTCCTGTCCATGCCCCCAAAATGGCTCACAAGTGCATCCTCCCTCTTTAATCCAGTGCTTCTCCCTCTTTAGTATATTAGATTCAGAAGGGAGTTTCCAAACCTTGCTGATTTTCAGATTCCTGAGTCCCATCCCCGGAGATTCTGACTCTGTAGGTGGTCCCAAACCACGATTTGAAACCACCACTTTCTGTCCTCTCTCCCAGAAAAGAATTCTGTCTAAAACTTAAATTGGATCATTCTGCTTTCCTGCTTAACCCCTTCAGTAGCTCCCAACTGCTTCATATGTAGTCTGACACTCACAAGGTGATCAGTACATGTTTGATGGATGAATGAATAAAAGAAATAATTAATATTACAATAACACCACATAGGTGTTGCAAGACCTGGGTTGAAGTCCCAATTCCACCATTACCCTGCCATGCAATTTTAGGCCAGGTACCTAACTTCTCTGAGACTCACATTCGTCATCAGAAAAATGCAGATAGTCATACCTGCCTGCCTGCCTACCTCACAAAATCTTGTGATACGTACACAAGTTAGATAATGTCCTTGAGGTTCATGAATGCAGAGAATATGTCCATTTTGCTCAACATCGTTTCCTAACGCCAGGCACAATATTTGTTGCATGAGTGACGGAATGGATGGAATCCCCAGCCTATAAATCTGGGTGACACTCTGTTTCTCCAGGATGAACGTCTTCCGTGCTATTATGTTTTGTTTTCTTTCTTTCTTTCCTTCCTGTCTTCTTTCTTTCTCTCTCTCTCTTTCTGATTCTCAGCCCTTTTGAAAGCCTCAGCATAGGGAAAGAAGAAGAGGTGGTCAGCGTGATGTGGTGTGAGCAGATGGATAACTCAGGGCATAGCTCTAACAGTTTTCAAAAGATTAGTCATTTGCTTTATCAGATATCAAGCACCTGCCTGCCACGTCTGTGCGGTCTCAGCCCAACTTCTCTCCCTACTTCCAACTGCTTGTTAGATAACTCCGCCAGTATGTTCTGCTAGAACTCTCAGAGAAACACATCCTAAGAAGAATTTGTCGTCTTCCTCCAAAATAGACTGTTTTTCCCAGCCACTATCTATCTAATTTTCCAGGCTAGAAATTGTAAGGTCATGTTTTGCTCCTCCATATGACACCAAGTCCTGTAATTTCTTCTAGAAGTGGCATGGTCATCAGAATGTCTCCATTCAAATTCTATCTCTGCCACTTGCTAACAAGGTGACCTTGGATAAGACATCATCAAACATTTCTTGGCCTCAGCTTTCTCATATGTAAAACGGGGATAATATCCACCTCATAAGGATGTTTATGAGGATCAAATGATATCATGTATGTTAAAGGGCATTATACAATGTAAAGCTTTGAGCAAGCATCAGTAATAATTACCCCCCAAAAACGACTTCGTACAAATTTCAAGTTCTTTAATAAAACTCAACTAAATTAAGTTAAAACGAAAGCCATGAAATGGGAATATAGTTTTAAGTAGAACAGATGAAAAGCTTGCCCTTAGTTCTATCTCTGACCCTTGATAAATGGCAAAGGACACAGACACTTCTTATTGGCTTTAGTGTCTCCGAATCTACCGCTCATATTTTTGCCAGAAAGTTCTTTCTAAAACACACATCACTCATGTTGTTACTCTTTAAGAAAAAAAAAAAAAAATCTTCTGGATAAAGATCAGGTTCCTGAGTTCAGTCCTAACCCTTTCTTTCCAGCCAATGTCTCATCATCCCGCAGCCCCAGCATTACACATTTTAGCTATAATGGAAGAGTCACAACTCCATAAGCACAGGTACTATATTTTTAGTTTTTTCCAACCCCTTTACCTCTCTACACGTTTTCTCCTCTCCCCAAGAGGCCCTTTTCTCACCTGGACAAATCTTACTCATTGTTCAGCCCTACCTCTAAAAGCCTAACCCTGTTTCCAATAGGGTCAACCCCTTTCCTCTTTGTCTTCCACCCACAGGACTTTGCCCATACTGCCTGTCAGTACTGCGCTTTTATAGATGGAGTAGTTAGGCATATATTGTCTATACTGTTCTGGCTTCCCCACCCTATCCCAAATGGTCATTTTCATTAGGTCACTCATCCTTCAGGGTAGCACACAGCACCTGGCACATGGTGGGCACTCAAAATATGTCTATTGCTTTGAACTGAATAGGTACCTAAGAGGAAATATAAACAATAAACATATTTTAAAAAGACTCAGCTTACTTAGTAATTAGGGAAATGCAAATTAAAGACTGCCTATCAAGTATGGTCCCAATTAACAGCTATTAAACCAGGTAAAAATTAAAAACCCAGGGCTGGTCAAAGCTTTCAAACCTGGCTAGTGGCCAGGTAAATGGACATGTGGAAGCACACTTAGATAACACTTAGCAAGAGCCAGTGTACTATATGCTTTGTCCCAGTCTTTAACCTAGGAATTTAACCCAGTGAAAACTGGAAGAATAAAACATATGTGTACCGTAAAATACTTATGTCAATGGGACTTAAAATAATAGAGAACTGGAAACAACCCACTAATGGATGATTGAACTATTGAATATTAACATCACAGCTTGCAGTTACTTGAAGAACATGGAGGAATATGAAAACATACCTATAAAATTATGTGAAAGGAAAACATTAATATTCATACATATACCTCATTGCCTCAATTATCTAAAAGCAATGATATCTCTAAAGATTAAAACTGAAAGGAAACACTAAAATGTGAAATCAGTTGATGAGGTGGGGAGATTATAGGAAAAGCCTTATAAGTCCTTTAAATTGTCTTTCATGATGTTTTAAAATTGATATCATAACATTTTGGAATGCCACACATCCAGGAAAAAATGCTTTAATTGCATAGGAAATTCTCAGGATATGTTAAGTAAAAAATATAGAATGTAAGACTGCATGTATAGTAGGGTTCCAAATTTGTAGATTAAAAATATGGAAGAAATGTGAATGAAAAAAATATTTGTAAAGCATTTGTAGAGAGAAAAATATGGAAGAAAACTATGTGGAGGAAAAAGACTGGAAGGAAATGCTCCAACATGCTAAAAAGTTTGTCTCTGGGCGGTGGAATAATGGATGATTTAAAAATTTTTATAATCAAAAAACAAAAACATTAAACATTCAAAACTAGAGGAAATGTGTCATGGATTGAATTGTGTCCCCCAAAAATATCTGTCAACTTGGCTAGGTCGTGATTCCCAGTATTGTATGATTGTCTACCATTTTGTCATCTGATGTGATTTCCCTATGTATTGTAAATCC